TTCAGGTACTCTTACGCCCTATTTTAATACTTGCACTAATGAACGTATCCTGGTTGGTAATGGTCACTCCATTCCCGTTTCGGGTCATGGTCAAACCACCCTTCCATCTTCTTCTTCTTCACTACGTTTAAATAATGTTCTTCATGCACCTCAATTAATTAAAAATCTTATTTCTGTGCGTCAATTCACTTATGATAATAAAGTATATGTGGAATTTGACCCGCTTGGTTTTTCCGTAAAGGATCTCCAAACGGGGGTGCCAGTTCTGAGGTGTAACAGTTCTAGTCACCTCTATCCAGTCTTGCCTTTACCTTCCTCACGCATCACCACATCACCTTCCGCCATGCTCGCATTACCGGCCGAAATTTGGCATAATCGGCTCGGCCATCCAGGGGAATAGGGGATCCGGTTTTTAATTTTCTTAGGCTCAATAATACTATCCACTGTACAAAAATTTCATCTTCTATTTGTAATTCATGTCAATTAGGAAAACATGTTAAATTGTCTTTTCCTTCATCATTGTCTATTACTTATCAATCGTTTGACTTAATACACAGCGATTTATGGACATCTCCTGTATTAAGCACTACTTGTCACTGCTATTATGTTTTATTCTTGGATGATTACTCCAAATTTTTATGGGTTTATCCACTTCACCACAAATCTGAAACTTTCTCTGTATTTGTTAAATTTTATAACTACGTACAAACTCAGTTTGAACGAAACATAAAAGTATTTCGATGTGACAATGGCACTGAATTTACAAATTCCTCTTTTCGCCAATTTGGGGATGCGCATGGCATTCACTTCCGGTTTTCATGTCCATACACCTCCCCCCAAAATGGCAAGGCCGAACGCACCATTCGGACCTTAAATAATATGGCACAAACCCTTCTTCTTCACGCTCATCTTCCCCCGAAATTCTGGCCTCACGCCATTCAAATGGCCAACTATCTCTATAATATTCTCCCTGCTCAATCTCATCAATACCGAACCCCTACTACCCTACTATATCACAAAATTCCCACCTACGCTCACCTCCGTGTCTTTGGATGCCTTTGCTATCCTCACACTCCCTACCCCGATCACAACAAACTCCTAGCCTGTTCCAACCCGAGCGTATTTCTGGGGTATCCAAACAATCACAAAGGTTACAAATGTTTGGACCTTGCTACTCATAAACTCACGACATGTCACATTTAATGAGTCCGTTTTTTCCTTCCAGTACTCTACACCATTACCTATAACCACACCCTCAATGCTAGATGATTCTAATCACCTTTCTGCTCGGGTTCCGGATGTTTTTGCATGGCCCTCTCCCACTCCCATGCAAACTACGTCTACGACTACCCGTCTTCCCTCCCCTCCACCTCACGCACAACCATATTCTACTCCCAACTCCAGTCAACCCTCCACTCCTAGTTTGACTTCTACTTCGCCTCACGCACAAACAAATCCACCGAGTCCCCCTCGTCCACCTGCCCGTCACCCCATGATCACCCACGCCAGGGCAGGGATTTCTAAACCCAAACGTCACCTAAATCTCTCGGTCATCCAGTCCCCATCTCCATTGCCTAAATCCCCGATTTCTTCCCTTCATGATCCAAACTGGAAAACCGCCATGGACGACGAATTTAGTGCGCTTATTAAAAATAGGACGTGGGAGTTGGTTCCCTGTCCCCATAACACTAATATTATCCGTTGCATGTGGCTTTTTAAGCATAAATTCAGGTCCGATGGCTCACTTGAACGTCACAAAGCTCGCCTCGTCGTCAATGGTAATTCTCAACAGGTCGGGGTTGACTGTGATGAAACATTTAGTCCCGTGGTCAAACCGGCCACTATTCGCACCGTTCTAAGCTTGGCTCTCTCTCACTCTTGGCCTTTACATCAATTGGACGTCAAGAACGCTTTTCTACACGGTCAATTAGAGGAAACTGTCTACATGCATCAACCACCGGGCTACCGGGATATTACACGCCCCAACCATGTATGCCGTCTACTCAAATCTCTATACAGTTTGAAACAAGCTCCTCGTGCATGGTACCACCGGTTTGCTTCTTACATGGCCACCCTTGGATTTCGTCATAGCAAGTGCGACCATTCTCTATTCATACTACACCAGAACAAGGATACTGCGTACATTTTATTGTATGTAGACGACATCATTCTCACGTCATCATCTGATCACCTTCGCCAAACCATCATGTCTCATCTCAGTACTGAGTTTGCCATGATTGATCTCGGTCCGTTGTCCTATTTCCTGACCGGGGGTCTCGGTTCGGCAGTTCTCCGAGGGACTGTTTCTCTCACAACAGTCCTATGCAACAGAAATTATCTCACGTGCCGGAATGACCGTAAGTAACTCCGTCGCCACCCCAGTGGATATAAAATTATTTCCACTTACCATGTTGGAATGTCCCAAAAACAATATATCATTTCTTTTTTGGGGGAAAGTTTTGTGTGGTTAACATTCATTTATATTTTTCTTACTCGATCACAACAATACATTTTCACTTTATTCACACATTCTTAAACTTCAATCCAAGTCAAAATGGGATTTTTTAGAACGAAGAGAGTATATATTAGTAGAAAATAATGTCAAATAGCCCTAAATTATTTTAAACTTCAATCCAAGTAAAGTACGTAAATAGCCCTAAACTGAAAGTGTTGTAAATATCCGGGGAACTGAATAAGTATTACCCCAACAATTTTTGAGGACATTGAACTCATGTTTCTTACTCATTCAAATCATGGAGAGAGCGTATGGTGATGAGCTCAAAAAACTGGTTTTATAGAGAGTTGGAGGTACATTAGTGGGTCGATTGAGAATAGAGTTGGAGGTACATTAGTAGAGGATATGGATATGAAAGAATACCGGAAAGGTGAAGTTGGGGAATGAACTAAAATATTTATTAAATAACTTAAAATATTTATTATTCTACTTTCTTTTAGACAAATGTATGTATGCATGCTAGGGAGTATAAAATTTCATATTTTGTGCTTAGTTATTTGAAAATAGATGGATAATATATATGGTGTCTAAGATATAATTCTGATTGATACATATTTTTTAGTAATAAAGATTTGTGTGATAACAAACAACAATAACTAATAATATAACATCAAAATATCATTGGCATGCAAAAAATCAAATGTAAATTACAATTTAAAAGATTAGTATTATAGCAAGAGACTAAAATGTTTATATAAGTCTTTCACTTAATTAATCATAAATATAAAATATCAATCTTGCAAATATAATACGGAGTAATAAATCTAGTATCAAACATTCACTATTTACCATTAAGAAAAAAACAAAACATTATGCTTAATGATTTGTTCATTGGAGTACTACGCGTATTTTAAAAAGTTCATTTTGTTTGGTACGGTTAGGTTTGGTGAAAATGAAACTGAAACCAAACATCGGTTCCTGTTTTTGACTTCGATTTGGATTTTCTTACTATTGGATTAAAGTGTCAAATAGACCTCCCTACTAATACGAAAAAGTCAATTAAGCCCCCGAACTCAAAAAACATCCAATTAAGCCCACGAACTAAATATAACGAGGCAAAACAGTCCTTTTAGCAGGATATTAACCGTTCCCAATTAAGTTGCATGTGTGGCAAATGATGTGGCATGCTTTTACATTTTCTTTTTCTCTTTCTCTCTTTCTTTCCTTTTTTCTTTATCTCTTTTTAACTGCTTAATTACCTACAAAAAGGACTGTTTTGCCTCGTTTTTTATAGTTTGTGGGCTTAATTGAGTGTTTTTGAGTTTAGGGGCTTAATTGACTTTGGTTCAGGTTTTTTCCATTTGGTGTTCCGTTTTGCCTGCCACCCCTGGAAAATAGAAAGCACCGATAATCTGTGGAGAAAATTGCTATACGTAGGATCAAATCATACCGTTTTTACAAACATAAGACCTGGAATTGTTTCTCTCATTCGTAAGACTTATTTAATTCTATTTTTGAAAACTCTATTTTTACCTTCCAATTTTACCCTTCATTTAAAATTAATTAGGATAGCTTCCCCAACTTCTCCATCTCTGCAGATTCATCGACAACATGCCCGGCCACATTCACCGATCCTAACACATCGCTCAATGAACCTGACAACTTGAAATTGACATGGTCTCACCGAGCATCGGCGGCGTGCAGCTGCAACAGGGTGTTGATCTCTCACACACACTAACATCTTGATCTTCGGAAACCAAATAGAAGAAGCCTTCCAGCTTTGTGGCACCATAAATGATGCTAGATTGCCTGTGTTGCTTATTGCGGAGTTTTTGACAACCTTCTGATGTAATTTCATCATTAGATACAATGAATTGTATATATATATATATATATATATATACTCTTTATTGTTTTACATTACCTACTCTGCCATTGAGCTATTATCAGAACTTATTGTCTGCTTAATGACTACTTACTGTCTATGTATTGTCTGCTATTGAGCTATTATTAGAACTTATTGTTTGTTTACTGACTACTTTCTGTCTATGTATTGTCTAGTGTTTGCACTTTGATTTTGGATCTGGTTTCTTCAGAAATTTTGCAGAGTACCTGGTGGCTTTGTGAAAATATGAAATAGAAGTTTGAAATTGGCAAAATCAATGTCCAAAATTATAGAAGAAGAAGAAGAAGAAGAGGGAGGAAGAAGAAGAAACCTCGGGTGGCAGCGGCGGCCGATGCAGCTGGTGCGGCGGCCGATGGAGCTGGTGCGTCGGCAATCGATGGTGCTACATCCCAATCGGGTTTTCCGGTTGCATTTTCTGCAATTTATTCCATGGAGTCTGCGATTTTGGAAGTTCCAAGCAGCCAGTTTCGTCGTTCGCAAATTTCTAATGTTTGTAGCAAAGGGCTTTTTAATCTACTGGAGCTATGTGATACTCCGTATTAATTTAAGGGTATATAAGTCTAAACACATCCACTTATGTCCTACGCATATTTGGAGTCCTAGTTTTAGAAACTTTATATGATTAAACTGTTCTCAACTCCTCTGCAGCGGTTCATGGAATGCTTGTCACACCGAGCAAGGCTGAACTGCTGAAGCTCAAATTGATGGAGATAGAGTCTATGGAGGATATGAATCACAGAAAATAACTTTATGCCTCCCGCCAATCGCCTTCTCATTCTTCTTCCCTCTCCAGTCGAGCAGCAGATGGCCGCCATTCATACAGCATCAATTAACAGTCCACGGCCCCGACTAAAGCCCGAACTAACTCAATTCGAGCTCCTCGACCAGATTTGTCGACTGTTAATTCTCCGGCGCTATAACGCCTTGGACAGCCTCAAAATTGATTTTTCCAACTCCCTCGTTGAGGCCGTTCTCCGGAAACTCAAGTTCAACCCGAAAGCTTCCCATCATTTCTTTAAACTAGCCTCGAAGCAACAGTATTACAGACCCCATTTGAGAGCTTATTTCATAATCGTTCACATATTGTCTAAAGCTCGAATGTTTGAGGAGACACGATTTCTCTTGGATGAGCTTGTGGAACTCTCCAGTCCAAATGAACCGACGTCGCTTGTTTGGAATGGGTTGGTTAGAGTTCATAAAGAACTCAAATTTTCTCGGACAGTTTTTGATATGATTCTTAAAGTTTATGCGAAGAAGGGGTTAATTAAGAATGCATTATATGTGTTCGATAATATGCCCATGAGTGGCTGTATGCCGAGCTTACTCTCATGTAATAGTTTGTTGAGTTGTTTGGTGCGAAAACGTGAATATCATACTGCATTGTGTGTTTATGATCAGATTATTAGAATGGGAATTTCTCCGGACATATACACTTGCACAACAATAGTAAATGCCTACTGTAAGGATGGTAAAGTTGAAAGAGCTGAGGACTTTATTCATAAAATGGATGCAATGGGCTTAGATGCAAATAGAGCGACTTACCATTGTTTGATCAATGGGTATGTTGAGAAGGGTGATTCAAAGGGAGCTGAAAGAGCTTTGAGATTAATGATTGAAAGAGGAATATCCAAGAACATTTTGACATATACGTTGCTAATCAAGGGACATTGCAGACAGGGGAATATGGAGGAAGCAGAGAAAGTATTCCGAGGAATGGAGGTTCCAGAAAATGATGCAGTAGTTGTGGATGAGCAGGTCTATGGTGTATTAATAAATGGGTTTTGTCAAATTGGGAGACTAGATGAAGCCCTCAGGCTTCGTGATGAGATGATAAACTTAGGCTTCAAAATAAACATATTTATTTGCAACTCTTTTATAAATGGTTATTGCAAATTCAGTGAACTTCATAAAGCAAAAGACATAATAAGGACTATGAACGGATGGGATGTGAGACTAGATTCTTACAGCTATAATACCTTATTAGATGGGTATTGCAGGGCTGGTTTGAAAAGTGAAGCATTGAACCTATGTGATGAAATGATTCAAGTTGGTATTGAACCAACACATGTAACCTACAATACTCTCTTGAACGGTTTTTGTCAATCTGGTGCTATCAGTGAAGCTTTGGATCTCTGGCATATGATGCGTGAAAGAGGTATTTCATTTGATGAGGTTAGTTGTGGTACTCTTTTTGTTGGGCTTATTAAGGCCAATGAGTTTGAAACAGCTACAGTGTTGTATAAACACATTATGGCTAGAGGGTTTAATAAAAACACAGTTCTTTTCAATACAATTGTTCAAGGACTGTGTAGGATGGGGAAAATGATTGAAGCAGAGCAGCTTCTTGACAAAATGAAGGAGCTTGGTTGTTCACTTGATGGAATTACTTATAGAGCCTTAATTGAAGGTTACTGTAAAGATGGGCAGACCGAAAGGGCTTTAAGAGTAAAGGGAGTCATGGAACAGCAAGGAAGCCTCCCTTCCATTGAAATGTACAATTCTCTGGTTACTGGATGTTTTTTGGTTAGGAAGTTGAATAAAGTTGAAGATCTTATCAATGAAATGCATACAAGGGGAATACTGCCCAACGTTGTTACGTACGGTGCCCTTATTAGTGGATGGGTTAAGGAAGGGAAGATTGACAAAGCTTTTAATTCATATTGTGGGATGATAAGTAAGGGGCTGATTCCGAATGAGATCATATTCAGCACAATTATTAGTGGCTTATATAGGCATGGCATGGCTAATGATGCATTCATGCTGATGCAAAGAGTATTGAGCATTGATAATAGTCTGAAACTTAAATGTCTTGACGACGTTTCAACTCCTCACTTCAGATCATTAGATGTTCAAAAAATTGCAAATTCCATTGATGAGGGGTCAAAATATACTGTCATGCCCAATACCATTCTATATAATGTTGCAGTGGTAGGGTTATGCAAAATTGGTCGTATAAGTGATGCAAGAGAAATGATTGGTGCTTTGATAGAAAAAGGCTTTGTACCAGATGAGTTTACATATTGTACCTTGATACATGGTGTTTCATTAGCTGGTAATGTTGATGAGGCTTTTGCATTACGGGACGAAATGCTTAAAAAGGATCTTGTTCCTAACATTGCGATATATAATGCTCTCATCAATGGACTTTGTAAAACTGGGCATGTTGATAGAGCATTGAAGCTTTTTCATAAGCTTCGCTCAAAAGGCATAACTCCCAATGTTATCACCTATAATACTTTGATTGAGGTGCACTGCAGAAATGGTAATACTAGGGAAGCCCTTGGATTGAAAGGCAGAATGTTAAAAGAGGGGATTGCCCCTTCGGTTATTACTTATTCTTCTTTGATTAATGCTCTGCGTATACAAGGTAATGCAAATGAAGCAACAAAATATTTAGATGAAAAGCTAAGGGCAAGTGTAGACTTCGACCTTGTGACATAGAGCAAATACAGCTATTAGGTATCTCTTCAAGTTCTTCTTCTAAAACTTAAATAGCTCTTCAAGTTCTTCTTCTAATATTATATAAGGTATCTCTTTACACTTATTAGGTAATTCAAAATATTAAGGAACATTCTAATATTAGAAATTTTAATTTTTAATCCTTTACCTCATGCTGTCATTCTCATTTGTTTTGAAACCTATTCTACTTCTATCATTCTAATATCATTTTAAAATTTATCATTCTAATATTATTTATTGTATTTGAATTATTAGAAACACCATTTGTAAGAGAAAATATAAAAGTTGAAACTAACATTACATGGTTGTAAGCAATTGGAAATATGGAGAATGGTTGAATGGGTTTGAAATTTAACCTTCCACCCTTAAGGGGATGGCCGCATGGGTACCTTAAGTCAATAGTCCAAACACATTTTTTTCCAAAACATGTATTTTATTTAGTACTCTGTATTTTATCACAGAAGTGGACATACAAACTATAGAGAAGTACAAATTAAAAAGGAACTGCACTATACCACACCTTATTTCATTAGTTTTTAGGATGTAAGGATTACTTCAGAACTGGAGTTTGTTGGGCTAGATTGATAAAAGTATGGGTGTCTAGATGTTAGGAATCTGCTTATTGAGTATTTTAATAGGGTATTTGAAAGAAGAAATAAAATGGGCCGAGGTCAATTAAGTGGGCTGGGGTCATTATATGTTAGTCCCTGCGTGGACCTACTACTATAAATAGTAAGTTGGGTAGCTAATAATAGGTAGACTGTTATTTTGATTATCGGTTGCCTTGTTGCCTAAGTCCCGGTTGCCTAAGAAGTCCCTGTAGCCTACGGTTTATCTTCTTCATCAATAAACACTATTTCCCTACCATTTATCAGATCTGTGGTAGATAGTTTACTGTATTGCTCAGATTACTGCCAGGTGCCTAACATTGGTATCAGAGCATCACTGCTCCTGGGGATCCGATTGAAGTGTCACTTATCATCCATCGACTACCCTGGAGCTATGGAAGAAGCCTGGACACCAGAAATGGAGGCTCGCTTGGATAAGCTCAAACTGGAGATGAAGACGGCTATGGCCACCCTCGCGACAGCGATGAAGGACCAGATCCATATCAGCATCGCCACTGCGATAGCAGCGATAAAGGAACAGAATCCGTCCAGGGGGAAATCACGATCACAACTTCATCGTCACTCTCGATCATCGCATAGTCCGACGCGGGCCACTACTTCGATTCCATCATCGCCACCTGTTTCTCCCAGTCCGCAGTCGTCCATTCCTTCTACTCGCTCGCAGATATCATATCAATCGCTAGCATCGTCTTCCACTTCGCCAGTCGATTCTCACCCTTTGCCTTCCTCGGCATCGCAAACTCTGACGCAAGTTGTTTCTCAGAGTTCTCAGATTTTGTCGCAATCCGATCTCCAGTGCTTGCAGGTATCACCGCACACCTCTTCTCACTCTGCTCAAGCTTCATCGCCCAAAATGAAGTTGAGGCCAACGGAACCAGGTCTGGATGATGATGACTCAAACTGCAGGATATCTGTCAAATCATCACAGCCTACGAAGGATAAAAATGGAACTAGTCCGGTAAAAGTGAAAGAGCAATTGCCATTGCAACTGGAGGATCAGGTAAATAGCACAGATAAAATAGGAAGGAGGATTCGAGCACTTGAATGGAAATCCGACAGTGCTGTGATGAATTATGGGCCTGATGTGTTTGTATCTACAACCAGGCTCAATCCTATAATGGATCAGTCACAACTTTTTCTAGTGGGGACAGGAATCAGTGCATTCTCACCTGAAATTGTGTTGTTGAAAGCAGGGCAAGTTGTTCTTGGAGTTCCTAATGGTGAAAGTTCTAAGGACTTGACTGCCAGTATGCCTCGATTGGAATTGCACACTGATGAAGAAGAGAAAGTTTCTGTGGTAACTCACTCCTCGATTGCTATGGATTATGAATCTGCCATTCATAAACTTGTTGGTCCAAATACTTTAGAAAGCTCTACAGGGACTGTGTGTATAGATGGCTTTAGCAAAATTTTTGGGGCTACTGTAGGACATATTTGGAAGAAAATTTGTGTAGAAGACATTGCCACAAGGGTTGATAAGCAGTTTGTGTATGCATCAGTTAAGGTAATCAGCATGGATGTGCCCCCTCCTGTGATGGCAAATGTGTGTGATAGGAACCTCCAGAAAATATACAGAAAGATCAAGAAACAAAATAGAAAACTGTATTGATGAAGAAGATGAAACAATATCGGTAACAAAGGCCGAAGCCTCCCAATGAGCCGAAGCCCCCCAAGAACGAGAATTAGCTCTCGCTCACCCAAGTCCCAGTCTGAAACGTCTAAAAACCTCCCTAACCCTTCCCTGCCTTCTGCTATTTATACTAAACTAATACACTTTTATTATTATTATACTCTATTGGGCCGGTATTATTATTATTATACTCTATTGGGCCGGGTCCCTAACAATTCTTCCCCCCTAAACATCCACCTTGCCCTCAAGGTGGGTGATAGGAAACCGCTATGATCTTCCGCTTCCTCTTCTTTCTTGCGCCTCTTCCTTCCCAATACTTGATTTCTTGATGGCTTTGTAGCTTCATTACTTGAACTTGCCAGCTCACAGATGTCACTGCAGCATATAATATCTCTGATGACTTTTCATTTTCTTCCTTAGTCTTCAGGCCTTCAATAGCCACAATTATTTCCTTCTCTTCACGAGGTGCATCACCTGTATCATTAGCAGAATTTATGTTCATGCCCTTAACCTTTTTGCCAGTGTGATGCGACACTGAAACAAAGCAACATTTAGTGCCTAGGAATTCAGAATCAACTCCTTTAACACTATCAGTCCCAATTCTGTGGATTCCCATTCTGATTACAGCTTTATTCCCATCTATTACAGTTATTTCATTAATTGCCCCATTTGCAAGCGTAATGAAGTGTGGCAGCCAATCCCCATTCTCATTAGTCACTGCAAAGTATTTCTGGTGCTTCTGCAAGACCATTATCAGTGATTCTTTAAGAAGCTTTAAGAAGGTGTCCTTAAATTTTCCAAGTACGGGCACAGGTGCTTCAACAAAACTTGCAACTTCGCTAATTACACCAGTCTGCACAACAGGAGATCTATATACAGTCTTTGCAAGATCATGGTACTGCTCCATTATAAACTTATTGCCTTGATCAACATCATCAAATTTAAAATCATGAATCTTATTCAGCCCTTCCAGATTATTCAACCCTTCCAGATTATTGTTTAGTAAACAAGGGTACCTAATATCCGTTAGAACATCCAATCCAAGTTCCAGGACTCTTCCAAACCAAGATTTAAAATCTACTGGATTTCTGTCTAGGGTACCAGTATACCTTTGCATTTCATAAGTAAGGTTATCTGATTTGCACACTTTGGACTTTTCTAGATTATCTGGTGAATCCACGTGTTCTGCCCCTTCCTGAATATCCTCTTTCTTCTCCAATTCTTGAACTGAAGTTGTAGACAGCGTCGGCTTCAACTCAATGCTCCGTGTAGATGGTGGAGTTCCAAGTAATGAAAGTTGCGCCTGGTGAAAGACGACTATAGAAGACGAGTGGTGAGAGTTTGCGAGTGAGGAAACCTGCGATGTAGGAGAAACAGCTACAGACGTTACTTGCGAATTGATCGTTGATGAAGATGCTTGCGGACTGAGAAAGGTCGTTGTTGACCACTGAGAACGAAGAGAAGGAGTTCGCGATTGCGAAATATGAGGAGTTCGCGATTTCGTCTGCGACTCCTCCTGCGATCGCAGATGATGAGAAGTGCGATGCGACCTATGGGAAGAGTGCGAAGTGTGAAGCGATGCGGATGAGTCATGCCATCTACTACTCGATCGACCTTTATTCTGGTTCTTAATCTCCTCGAAGCCAGCCTTCATCTTCGCTCTTAATTCCTCAAACTTCGCATTTGATTCCTTCTGATATTTGTCAAATTTCCGCTCGATTTCCGTCATTTGCTCCTCCAGTTTTCTTCCTATCTGCGTTATGCGACCTTCCATCTTCGTTCGAGTCTGTTTTGTCCAGTGATCGTCTCTCTCTGATACCAATTGATAGGAACCTCCAGAAAATATACAGAAAGATCAAGAAACAAAATAGAAAACTGTATTGATGAAGAAGATGAAACAATATCGGTAACAAAGGCCGAAGCCTCCCAATGAGCTGAAGCCCCCCAAGAACGAGAATTAGCTCTCGCTCACCCAAGTCCCAGTCTGAAACGTCTAAAAACCTCCCTAACCCTTCCCTGCCTTCTGCTATTTATACTAAACTAATACACTTTTATTATTATTATACTCTATTGGGCCGGTATTATTATTTTTATACTCTATTGGGCCGGGTCCCTAACAGTGTGTCAAGCACTTTCACAGTTCTTAACTGATACAGACTCTGGGGTCAACTGGCCACATATCAAGGACTTAATTTTGTCACTCATCAACCACACTATGCATAGGGTTTTTGAGATACCACAGGCTACTTTCGGGGCAGATCCCTTTGGCAGCATGGAAGCTCTCGAATTTTTAGAGCAGCATAAAGAAATAATACTCCAAAGTGATGTTCCAACCTGCAGACACCTGCCACCAACACCACTTGACCTGATCCAAGCTGCACTGCTAGTTCATCAGCAACTAATCCATATGAAAGAAGAAGAGATGATGAAAGTAAAAGAAATGAAGCTCCTAGATCAGAAACCAAGGAGGTACTGGGAAGGAAGAGGTTCCAGGATAAAGAGGAAGTTCAAGATCAAGGCTGTGTCTTATTACCCACCTTGAGGGCAAGGTGGTTAATTAGGGGGGGAGTAATGTTAGGAATCTGCTTATTGAGTATTTTAATAGGGTATTTGAAAGAAGAAATAAAATGGGCCGAGGTCAATTAAGTGGGCTGGGGTCATTATATGTTAGTCCCTGCGTGGACCTACTACTATAAATAGTAAGTTGGGTAGCTAATAATAGGTAGACTGTTATTTTGATTATCGGTTGCCTTGTTGCCTAAGTCCCGGTTGCCTAAGAAGTCCCTGTAGCCTACGGTTTATCTTCTTCATCAATAAACACTATTTCCCTACCATTTATCAGATCTGTGGTAGATAGTTTACTGTATTGCTCAGATTACTGCCAGGTGCCTAACACTAGACTTTAGAAACATTGTAGAATATTTTCTCAAACAATATCTTATGGCCTGTGGTGTTGATGAATATGACTTTACTACCGTATACTCCCTCCGTCCCTAATAATTTTGCCAAGTTTGACTGGCACGAGGATTAATAAAGTAAAAACTGTGTGGTTGAGGTTTGTGCAGAGTAGAGAGAATTAACTGGAACCACAAATTCTTTACTTAAATGGGAAAGTGGCAAAGTTAATGGGACATCCAAAAAAGGAAAGTTGGCAAAGTTATAAGGGACGGAGGTTGTATTATGAAAGAAGTAGAGCGCATGTCAGACTCTGCTTATTGATATGTCAACATCTGCTTATTGTTAAGAACACATTATTGGCGGTCTAATAAGTAGCAATTCGGTGATTTAATAGGAAGGAATGAAGTAGATAGAAAATACACTAACTAAGAATAATGATAACAACTTTTGTGTCTTCTTAGATGAAATTACTGATTAGCTGCTCTTAAGAACTATCCCAGTTTCCTCTTTTCAGATATTTCTATACTTATAATCAGATTTAGTTGTGATATTCCTAAGGTAAGTATAAACTTTGTCCTATAGCACCTCAGTTTACTAGGAGTCTAGTACTCTTTAAGATTCAAAACATAGAACAAGATTCAGATGAAACTTTTATTATTTAGTTTGATTAGAAATATAATTATTAGTTAATAATGAATTTAATAGCTATATTATTCTTTATTAGACTACCAGCAATTGTGATTTTAAGTTGTTTTTAATTTCTAAAAAAATGATTGCAGTGGACTGGACTTATTCTCACATGAATTTGAATCCCTCACTTATTTGGCTTGGATAAAAAGGCTTATTATTAGCTGGCATGTCTACACACATGAGAACACACTAATACTTCTTCCTTGAGAAATGTTGAGCAATTCAGTTGCTGCTTTTTTGGCTTCTCTAGTCTCCTCTAATGTTTTCTTTTGTTATAGGTATATGGATGATGTTCAAGGAATTGATTGGTACCAGTAAATTTGATACTTCAAGGAGAGAAGAACATTATCTATGGATCTATTAGTGATAAGGGGAAGAAACGGTCACAACTGCCCCTGCCTTAACACCAGCAGCCAAAGCAATGTTGCTTCAGGAATGTAATGCAATAATTTCAATGGGTATCAGGTGTTGTTTTTAGCCTTCTTTAGCCTCCTCTAATGTTTTCTTCTACTTCTATAGATTATACTCTGTATGTATCATACGGATGATATTCCACCTGGAAATATTTGGCCTTTCTCAAAGGTGAAGGCTCCGGAGGGGGCTTGGTTCCATTGGTAGCGATTTGTCAAATCAATCACAAATACAAAACAAGGCCAGATTACCATAAGATTCAAATCCAATGACAATAATGATTCAATTAACTCATGAAATAAAAGAAGAAAAAATAAAAGAAAAATGCAATTTGTCATGATTGACTGATTTTGCGATTTCTAAAATGCAGTAGAAGATCTTCCAAACGAAGCTTAACATTTACTCCAAACGTACTCCATAATTTAATAGGTAATGTATTCAAATTTTGCTGGACACTGCATACATCCTAATATAATTCACCATAAAAATTTGCGCATTGTAAAATTTGAACAAATCTCTATTATATGGATAAAAGGAGCCGTAGACCGTAGTTTTGACTAATGTGTTCAGACACATCAGTTGTACATGTGAGTTTTCTTATACAATCTAACTAAGAAATTAATATGTTTTGCATTTAGAAGTCCAACTCTTGAATTTTGAATATGTAGCCAATTTTGTTGAATGGGTAATAATATATGTTGTGTAAATAGGTGTTGGCTGTAAACCCAAAAAAAGTCAAACTTGAATGAGAAGACATTTTGGATCGCTCCTCTTATTGCCTCATAATAATATGTAGACATTTGGTTTGGAAAAATGTACTCATTTTCTTCATTCTTTCTTTTTTTATTCTTTCTTTTCTCTTCCTATTTTTTCACTTCCATACTTGATTGCATCCCCTTTCATTTAGGATCTATTTTCTTCTTTCAGATTGGGTACTTTATTACAACTCTGGAAATCGTCCTGGTGAGCAGTTTCAAATCTACCTGGTAAGTTTACATATCCATTTATTGTTTTTTTCTTCCTTTGTGAGTTTCAGTGTTATTTTACATAACTTTGATTTGATTTAGTTTGATTGGAAATATAATTTACAAATAAACTTATTTCCCGAAGCTGCTTGTGTTCTGACTTCGGATTGCTCATATTCTAGGGAGCAATCATGGGTTATCTTTCTATGTGAAGTTTTAGAGATAATCTTAATGGTGTGGTATTGTTATTTATGTCTAAAATATAACATAACTGCATAAGAGGATCACTTTGAAATTTATGAAGTTGAGTACATACTCAATCAATTAAAAGTTCAAAAATTTGAACTTTGAGTAGTTTATTTATTCTGAAAAAGTTATATAGTGTTTGTCATTGCAAATCTCTGTTAGTTTCATGCAGTCATTCACCCATTTACATGCAGAGTCATTCACCCATTTTTCTGAAAAGTTATATACGTAGTAATATTTTAGGCTAAAGGGTCAAATAGGTATATGAACTAACTTAAAGTGTTCAATTAGCCCCTTATATAGGAGGTTCTACCCGGCCATCGCCAATTGGGGCGGTTCCTGGTGGATTTTTTTGATGAATTTTTTTGAGCATCTTCTTCATTAAGTCTAGTTTACTCATACCAAATTTCAGCTAAAAAATCAACTGGGAATGCAGTCAAATGATTTTTTGAAGATAACTGCGCAGTTAAACAACGCAGTACATTTCGGAAAATCATTTGACTGCCTTCCGATTTAATTTTTAGTTGAAATTTGATATGGGTAAACTAGACTTAATGAAGAAGATGCTCAAAAAAATTCATCAAAAAATTCCACCGGGAACCGCCCCAATTGGCGACGGCCGGGCAGAACCTCCTATATAAGGGCCTAATTGAACACTTTAAGTTAGTTCATGTACCTATTTGACCCTTTAGCCAATATTTTATCTTCACTTGAGTTTGGTAATACACTTGAAGTTGTCCCGTGTTCATGTCATAGTCTAATACAAAGTATTACTCTTGCCAATTTCACATCTGTAAGGTCTCAACCTATTTTTTATTCTGTCTTTTAATATCAAGTTGGTTAGCTATTCTTACTACCTAAAGCCCGTTTGGTAGCACCAAAATCGGCTGTTTTGGCTGATTCTGCTGAAATTTATGATATTCTGGCTGGAGTGGCTGTTTTGGCTGATTCTGCTGATTTAAGAAAAAAATATTTTAAAAATATATTTTATTAATAAATTAAAGAAAAAATTATATGTAAAAATAGCTAAAATGGTCCTCTACAGTAACTTCAGCCAATACAGCCAGAAAAGTAACTCCAACCTTACTTTTTCGGCTTATTACACAATTCAGCGCGCGAAAGTAAAAGTTACGTGTTTGGTGAAAAAGTTGGCTGATAAGCCGAAAACAGAGTTCTCCAAACGGGCTCCTAGTCTTGATTATTTATTTACCTAAACTGAAAAACGACAGTCTACTCATCAATGTCTTTTCAGGAAGCATCAACTTGGGAAAGCAGATTTAGCAAGGCATTGCCTGACAATATCAATGTCTTTTGAGGCAAAGTTCACCGAAAATAAAAGATGCTACCAGGCAAGGGGGGATCATCATTTGGTCCGCATGCTTATGGAGCAACGTGAATCAGCCAACCCTGTGGGTTAAAAAGCCTGACACATCCTATATGGGCTATGATCCTGATCGCCGCATGTCTGGCCCCTAATTGTCACGACTAGGCTCAGCCCTCAAACCCATATATGCCATGAAAAGTTTTGAGGTGGTAGAGATATCATCAATTACACTTTAATATTCGTTATCATATCAAGTAGCTTTAGAATCTTGTTTTATTTCAAGTGATTCAACATTTCTGAGACATGAGCTAGGTTGAGCTCAAACACAATAAAAGCATTAGTTACTTTACTTAAAAGATCGGTCACTGGAAAAAAACAAAAAAAAAAAAACAACAAACCACAATAATAGATGAAGGGAAGTTCATTATGGATGCAACAATTTCAACATTATATAGGATTATAGCTATGGACACTCAAGAGATTTGATTTTTCATTGATGGTCGAAGACTCGAAGCATAGTTCTTTGCAATGGAACTTTAGAGCTTTGACAATATTATACTTTGTAATTTGGCTTTTAAGCTAACTAAATGTCAATACTTGCTATTTTTAGTTAGAAATCATGTATATGTGTAATTTCATCGAGGCTTGACAGGCAGACTGTGAGCTAGATCAGCACAGCCGTTAGAGGCAACATTATGGGCCTGGGATGTAATTTGTTACAAAAGCTCAATTCGGTCTCACAAAAAGTTTCTTTTGAACAGGTACAACCTAGTCCAGCCCAAATCCATAAAGTTTTTGTCTGGTGCAGCCTGTTGAGCCCATAGATATCAGAGTTCTTTATGCAAGAGAAAAAATGCAACAACAAAAAAACGCGTGTAAGCAGCCTGCTTACAAGGCCGGGCCCGAACCGGAACCGGTCCACCCCTATAAGCAGGTCGCTTTATTAACATCACCCTACAAAGTTAAAAGAAGCCATAATTCCCATTGATGTACTATTGCCTCCAGCCTACATACTGCCCCAATTACTCCGTATTCAAATATGATGGATACAACTCAACCTTAATTAGTTTCATTTCAGGCCTTAGGGTATTGTTTGCACAATACCACCTGTAGACTTAAATATAGGGATGGACCGGTCCCGGGTCGGGACCGGGTCCGAGTCCAGCTTAGGACGGGCCTGGGTCTGGGAAATGGAGGCCTGGAACCGGATCGGCTATGTTCCGGGACCGGCCCGGGTCGGGTAGTTTTTTTTTGGGGGTTTTCTTATTTATTCTTACCCCCAAACCACCTAGCCCAAAAGGGGTGGATTCGGGTCGGGCCACCCGGCCCGTGGACCGGCCCGCTACTGTGCAGGACCGGGACCGGCACGGTTCTCGGGTCCGGGTCGGGCCTAGGCCCGGGGGAGGGGGCGGGTCTGTGCTCGGGTCTTACATTTGGCGAACAGCCCGGCCAGGTCGAGCCCGGGTCCGGGCCAAATTGATTTTTTTTTTTCATTTTTTGGGGTTCCACCCGGGTTGGGCTTGATGGTTAGGAGGGGTTTGGGGGGGGTGGGGGGGTGGGGGGGGGGTTAGGAAAGCAAAAAAAAAAAAAAAAAATAACCAAACCGGAGGTCCGGACCGGACCCGGTGGCTACCCGGGCCGGTCCCGGGTCCACCAATTCTGAACCGCCGGCCCGCCCGGGCCTAGGCCCGACCCGGACCCGGCCCGAGTCCAGGCCTTACCAAACCATTCAAAAAAACCAAAAAAAAAAGGGGCCCGGACCGGCCGGGCCGGTACCAAGTGGGCTGCAGCCCGAGCCCCCCCGGTCCGGTCAAAGGCCCGGTCCCGGTCAACCCATCCTTGGAACCGGTCCGGTTGACTACTTTCTACTTACATTTTCCTCGTGGATTCTACCCTTGAACATTATACTACTATTACCCGTATATATGCAAAATTAAGTTGTCTATCAAATTTTTATGCCATTACCAGGGTATTGGTTTAACTAGTTTTATGAAAATTAGTAACAATTTTATTTTAGTTAGTTGTGTGATTTCTTTTTGTTGTTGTATGTTTAGTCACATGTTACTTAATTTATATTTACTACCGTTGGAACGATCAAGTAGATGTAATTGGTAAGAGGTAAAAAGGGAAAAGTGTTAAATAGGCCCCCCTACTAATACGAAAAAGTCAATTAAGCCCCCGAACTTAAAAAACATCCAATTAAGCCCACAAACTAAATATAACGAGGCAAAACAGTCCTTTTAGCAGGATATTAACCGTTCCCAGTTAAGTTGCATGTGTGGCAAATGATGTGACATGCTTTTACATTTTCTTTTTCTCTTTTTCTCTTTCTTTCCTTTTTTCCTCATCTCTTTTTAACCGCTTAATTACCTGCTAAAAGGACTGTTTTGCCTCGTTTTTTATAGTTCGTGGGCTTAATTGAGTGTTTTTTGAGTTCGGGAGCTTAATTGACTTTTCTGTATTAGTTGGGGGGCCTATTTGACAGTTTTCCCGAGGTAAAAATGAGACTTCACTTTGCTCATGATCTAATATGTTATATGTATCGGTGTTTTCCCATTGAATGAGATTGCACGGAATTAATTATTGGAAATGCTTGCCTGCTTGGCGAAACTATTGATAATGAAATGAAACACTTGATTCTGATTTCTGAAATGTGTCCCCAAAAGAACAAAAGGCGTGTATCTTGTATGAGACGGACCCATTTTGCTCCATCAACCTGTAATATATCAGCTGAAAACTAATACATTCGCACTAAAAGCTAACCAGCATCACTTTTTAGAATGAGGAAAATATGGCATTTCGAAAAGTGATTTTTGAAGAACACAATTACGATAGTATTATTTTTGAACAAAAAACCAATGATAGGTAACATAGGTGCAAAACTTAAGACAGCATCACTAACAAAGAGTTGCTAATTTTATTACAGTATCAATGATAATAATACAATAGCAACAACATGATGGCATCATTTGGCTAGCAATTCAAAGGTATGCCCCCCTGGACAGAGCTAATAAAGTACTCAGAGAATTGAAAGTAGAGAGAAACTATCCACTTACAAAAGTGAACCCCTCAGCTCCCTCCCTCAAATGAGTTTCTTCATCTTTGACATTTTTAACTTGTACGCATGTTCAAAACGGTAAACACATATCATTGCTCTCTTCAAATTGTTCCACATATCAACTAATCTCTGAATGACAGGCTTGGAAGAAGAACTTCATCGGGAAAGGAGAGTGTCCCGTTATTTCTTGCACCATCACTTATGTTGAGGATTTTGGTCACCAAATTGTATATCTGAACATTCTCAAAAGATGGAACTTTCCGTCCCCGGGCAAACTGAGGTCCGTGTGCAATAAAGATGGTTCTCATTGAGAAGAACGCATTGTCATACCCATGCGCCCCGCCACATTCTTTTTCTTCCGTATTTTTCTTTGTCTTCTCGAGCTTATATGCTTCATCAAGTAAACCTATAACTGCAGGAATCCTATCACTGACAGAATAATGCAGCCTGCTAGGCAGCTCCTCCTTTAGATAGACTTTCAAATACTGCCCATTCTCAACGCTCCCTGAACTTAAGCCTTCATTCATCTTGGAAACAATGTCCTTTGCTGAATAATTAGCAGGTGGACTAATTGCAAGTAACGGTGTATAGTCTTGGACCCAGCCCTCTGGGATTTCAACCCAAGGAGCCAAATCATCTAAAAAGACTATCTTTTTGTCGCAGGTGCCAACCATGCCGTGATCACCCACCATTATAATGCTGACATCATCAAAAACTCCCCGTTGTTCCAGCCCGTGAATCAACCTCCCGATTAAACCGTCGATTCTACCGACTGCCTCTGTGATCTGAGGGTCATCGGGTCCCACTATGTGTCCCTGATGATCCGGGTCTTCGAAGTACAACGTCATGAATGAAGGGATTTCATGATCGGGCAGATCAAAGTAACTCAACACAGTATCAACTCTCTCGTGGAAGTCCACAGAACCGTTATACGCCTTACAGTAGAACTCAGGACATTTCCAGGAACCTTTCTTTACCTCAGAACCGGGCCAGAAATAAGTTGAAGCCTCCAAACCGTGATTCACCACAGTCTCCCAGAGTGGCTCACCAAGCCACCACTTCGGTTCATGGCTTTGCATGCTGAAAGGCTCGCCAGTTTTGGGATCAAGAAAGTGATTGTTTATAATGCCGTGATAAGCAGGGTATAAACCAGTTACAATTGAATAATGGTTAGGGAAAGTCAAAGTTGGGAACACCGGAATTAAGCCCAACTCCGCTTCTGTCCCGTTCTTGACTAACCTATCAATATTTGGAGTGTGGGTTTTGTACTGATACCCATATCTGAACCCATCGCATGAAATCAAGAGAACAACTGGGTGTTTGAGCTTGGTCAGCGGCCTAGAGACCTCATCAGCAGTAGTAGAAGATGGTGGGGAGACGGAAATGGCGGATGAGAAGAAAAGAATGAAAAAAGTAATAGCTGTAGCTGCAGAAAGAGTGATGCAAGTAGTAACTATCAGAGTGGTAAAAATCATAATGGGTTTCCCTTTTGCTTGTTCTGTGGAACGAATTAGGGTAATAGGTTTATTGATTGATGATAAGAGTGAGACTGAATCTGAATCCATCACTTCTTACACAGTCAATAACACAAATACCTTATAGGTCGTGCTAATCCCACTACCGCAACAAGAGCAAGAAGAAACCACCGAGACCAAAATTTATTGTGTTTACGATTTACCTGCGACTGATAACGCACCCGAGCCTCTCACAGAGCAAATCTTTGAACTTTTCATGGGAATGGAATTTTTGAGTTGAGCTTTGTTTGATTAGCTGAGTGAAGTAATCGGTGAGCGCGCGGTCAATGGAACAAGGAGAAAGAAAGAGTTAAAACCAATGGCAAGGGTAGATGCATCCCAATTTATACTCCGTACCTTCAAAATACTTCCAAACTTTCCCTTGTATGTCCCAAAAAGAAACTTATTTTCTTTTTTGTCAAAGAATTTAAGAATATGTGGTTCACAACAGTTCTTACACATTTTTCTCTCATCTGCACAACTCTCTACCACACATTTCTCACTTTCTTAATCCATGTGCCATTTGTACTATGGAAGTAAATTCAGGGACGGATGGAGTGATTTACTACTCGCGCTCTCTTCTCTACTGGGTATTCAGCTAGGAAAATGACATCTTTAGACAATTATCTTCAAGAATTCATTTGAATGCCTCGTCGAGGGATCGAATTGGATTCTCAACTTGTTTGTCTATCCTCGAGAAACATTGGATTCTCTTCTCAACTTGTTTGTCTATCCATAAACATTAGATTCCCTTCTCAACTTGTTTTATCTATTCATATCACATTGGATTCTCTTTTTCATTATGTGTGTCCTTTCATAACACATTATATCACATTGGATCCTCTTTTCCACTATGTGTACCTTTCATAGCACATTGGATGCTATTCTTCACTTGGTGTATCCAAACATAATAAGTTGGATGTATCCTCCACTTGGTGTGAACATTAAAAAACTATATTACTATAGAACAACATCCAATCGGATATGGTGACCCAAGCGTTGCATAGAATAACATCCTCACCAGCACTCCAATTAACACCCCTTCTTGAGGAAGACATAACAAAAATATAGATAGTGAACAAAATATGATGAAGAGTGAGAGAGATGTGAAATGTGTGATTAAAATAAGAAGGAATTGAGTGTTTATATAGGATTTACGAGCAAAATTTTAATTAAAAGTAATTGAAAAATTAAATTAATTATTTCAACCGTTGGATCATTTTTTTCGTTCAAACAGTGTCAAAATCATCACAGCCATTGGAGTTACCAATTTTTTTTTAAATTCTTGCCGTTGTGGGTGCTTAGTGACATTATCACGACGTCACTTTGACGTCAGCTTGTTCAATTAACTCCCTACAGACTTTTCTCCCGCGGGCCACACCCCCTTTTTCCTTCCGCGCACAGCCTGCCATCTGCCCCATTTATCCTTTTTTATTTCTTTTTCATTTTTTGGCTGTCCAAATTCCTCCAAATATAACTTCTTCCCTTCCCAAATCCATTTTTAATACTCTCTTCAATGAACGAATGCATGAAATTAGGACTCCAAATTTGCCATTTTTTTAGGACTCCAAATTTGCCATTTTTAACATTTTGGACTCCTAATATCTTACCACTCCAAATGCACTTACACTTCCAAAACCTAGCCCAGCCGTTTTGGATCCCGTCAACAGCTGCTGCGCCACGGTCCTGTTGGAGACGACGATGAAGCCCCCCACAATCGAACATGAAAAAACTATGATGTCCAGAAAGACAATTTGCGGAAAATGAAAATAATGATTTCCTGGACATAGCTAAAATGTGCCTAAATTGTATATCCATTTATATGATACGGAGTAATATTATAAAATCAATGAATTGTTGGCCTTTGCTTATTATATCACACTGTCTATTTTATTATTGTTCTTGTCTGTATACTATACGTTAAAGTCTCTCAATTCTATAAATTTTGGCTTTTTCTTCCTTTGCTTGTGCTTCTTTAAGTCTTTGGCCATCTAAAATGATTATATCAAGAGTACCCTGCTGAAATAAAATCTTTGAAAAATGGTTGAGGTACACAAAATGTGTACACATGTCTGTCCTTCACAGAAATTTTGTCTCTCACAGACAACACAAATTGTCTAGCACCCAAAATCTTTTGACTGAATCGATGAAAATACAACTTAGCAAAAAAACATCATGTTCTGTTTTTGTTGAGCTGCAATTTTCATTTAAGGCACTACCTTTAGAGATCAATTGTTGGGTAGGTGGTGGCACTTTGTAGTTCCTTCTATTTGAATTAGAATAGCATGACACATCTTGCTATTGGTTTCATAAAATGTAAAATCTAAACTGCAATGCGATTAAAACTTTGGTTCCATTTCCTCAACGTCCTCAAGTCAAGTTTTAATATTCTTAAATTATAAATTATAAATTATGTGAGCCAATCATTTGTGTCACTGTGTGTGTCTATATATGTATGTGTGTATCAGTGTGTGTTCAAGTTTATGTTGAGATTTCTATTTGTCTTATGACTGGAATTAGAAAACATAGAATGCATGAATAAATCAAAGCACAGAATGCTCCTTTTTCGTGTAATCTTGAAGATCTCTTTCTCAAAATTTTGGTTGTCTGTGCAGGTGAAATAAATTCCTTCAATGAGTCTGTAGAGATTAGATCCTCTTACTATCATGAAAAAGTCAATTAGATCCTCGTACTTTAAAAAAATCAATTGAATCCTCAAACTTTGTAAAAACGTTCAATTGAATCCATTTGCAAGTTACCCGCTGACGTGGCATGCAAGTGGCGGTCCACGTATGTGCCACGTCACCACTAAATGGCTAACCGGACTTTCTCATGTGCGCTACATTAGCAAAAATCATTGCTGATTAGGCTGCCACATGTGCGCCACGTCAACGGATAACCTGCTGACATGACAAGTAGCCTTCAAATGGACTCAATTGAACATTTTTACAAAGTTCGAGGAGTTAATTGATTTTTATAAAAGTACAAGGACCTAATTGACTTTTTCGGGATAGTACGAGGACCAAATTGACAGTTTTCCCTATGTTTAATTTTGCATGAACTACAACTTTTCATTAGAGATTGGTTGCGGAGAGACCCATTGCTTTGTAGCTGCCTGCTTCTTTGCAAGGTAGTCATCAAGAAATTGTAGGTATTCTAGACTCTAGGCTTTGCTTTTCTCCTTTAGGTAGTTGTTTAAGCAAGAAATAAACAATTTCTTCTAACAATCAAATAATCGAAAAGGGAATCGCGCAAGAAATTATTTAAAGAAATAATAAGCTAAAATCGGAATTGAATTGATGAATTTGGTAGTGAACACAAGTTTTAGTAGAGAATCCTTATCATCCTCCTCCCTCGTAAAACTAAAAGATGGATCCTTTTATAGTTGAAGCTGCTTGCTAAATATGGGATGAAATAAACTAAATACGGAATAAAATATTAGAGTATCTTCAATATGATCTTTCCTTCCAGATAATTAAACAGCCCGGTGAATTAGCTCATACTCCCACGAATCCGGCGGTTAATTGAGCTCTTCCATTCCGCCAATATAGGTGGGTTGTTGTTTGGAAAGAATCTTTCGTTCTTAACTTCTGCTGCAATTCTCTAGCTATTAGGTTATTCAATTTGTTTCTTGGGCCGAATATCTTTAATATAATAAATAATCCTTGGCCCAACAATTGCTCCCTTTCGAGAAGTTGAAGCGTATGGGTGCACATGTCAACTCGTTAAACATCAACTTTTCGAAATCTTGAAAACAACTATATTTGTCATCCTTGAATATTTCCCATATAAAATCGTCATCAATCTGACAAGACATGTTGTCAACCCGTCATATGACGAGACACTTACGTCAACTCGTCATTTGTCTGAGAAGACACTTCTATCAACATGTCACTCGTCTGGCGAAACGCTTTCTTCGACCCGTCATTTGTCTGACGAGATGCTTCCTTAAAACCGTCACTCGTCTGACAAAATGATTCCATCAATTTCCATGCGAGTAGCTTCAGGTCGAATCCGTATCTTGGACTGGAATGATGAAGAATGAGGGCCTAGATGGTAAGATGTTATCCTCTTTCTTCGAAATTGCATTGACGACTAGATGACATAAATTTGCAACATCTTTCACATTGATGTCGACACTTCAGCTGGCAAATGGGACGTCGTCCGTAGTTGAAGATGACGAGTCGGGTTGTGTGAACTTAGCCCATATCCTGCAACAACTTTAAATAGCGTTACGTTTGTCATTTGTACTATATCTCCTTATGTCGGAGCATGTGCTTCTGTTGTGTAATTCTATAGTTTTGTTGTACGTGTTGTCATATATGTGCGTAAGTTTTGGCCAAAACATGTAGGGATCTGTTGGGACTGTAATCCATGATTCCCTTATGGGCAGCCCAACCTTTCCCACTTTGATGTTTAAGTAGGGTGTCTGGCTGATGTGAGCCTGAATGACGTCTCTTAACCTTTGTAGGTCGCTTCAATAGTTGTCTGAACTTACACTTCAAGATTGCCCTGCACTCGTCACAAACCGTTAAAGTTGGTCGTTGGCTTTGGGCCAACGGCCCTCCGATGGTTAAGTCAGTAAAAGGCGGCTAATCAATCTTCAGTAAAAATTTGTACTTCATACCTGGCATGTCAAGTTGAGTCGATGTCTCGTTTACTCAACAAACATGTTGTCAGTAATATAATGAACTTATAAAGAAGTGAAAAATATTAAAGTGACCTACAGATGGTACGTCCTTTAAGTCGACGTCTCGTTTACTCTCCTGTATTCAAAACGTCGTTAGGACCGGACATTGGCCTTAAGCCGACGGCTCTCTGATGATTAAATTAGTAATCGTTTATAAATAAATGAAAGTAATAGATTAGGAATATGTATACCAACCTAGATAAGTATTTATCATCATAATATGTCTACCGTAAGATGATGTGCCCCCCCCCCCCCCCCCCCCCCCCGTCTGACGATTTCAATCGTCTCGTCACTGAAGTGACTTATCACGAAAGTGACTCGTCGTGGAAATGACTCGTCACTGAATTGATGACAATATGCAAAAGAAAGTAACGAACTAAAAATGAATTAACTTTAAAGGTACCGTATTGCAGCCCTTTATAACTTATTTATCACCGGACGACATGCCCCTCATCCAATATTTCAATCATCTTGTCTTGTCCATCTCGTCATGGCATGATGACTTGTTCCTCGGGTCTTGAATAAGGTTTTCCAGACTTGTAATCATGCCCCCTAGGAGATTCTGATTTCCCGTGCCCCTTTTCATACTCAACTTGTCTGCGGCGGGATCTTAAGTCTTCTTCTAGACGGATGAAAGCCAACACCTTCGCTGG